CTTGGATGGAGGGGTAGATACTTTTGTTTCATGATTTCCACTTCTAGTGATGTCATTGCTACAATTAGCTCAGGAAATCCACAAATGTCCTCTTTCTACATCTTTGACATAATGCCATCCAGTAAGTGCTGTCATAGAGAACAATGTTTCTGGCTACTCTAACCCAGTTCTGGTTTTTTAATTCTTGGTATTTCTACAAATTCACCATCTTGGAGGTCAGATTACATTTTCCCTCATACAAAAGGAAGCAAAAAAGTTAGCAGAAATTCTTAGTGGAGATGCCAACACACTCCATTGAATGATGACTGTTTCATCATTGTGATCATAATTATAGGAAGTTAAGATTACTACTTTGACAAAACTAATTACAATCATCTTATATATTATACTTTAGCAAAAGCCTGTAAGCTTAATCCCTGATATGGAATAACACACTGCAAGGCCAATATTAATGAAAAAGAATTGCAAAGACTTTCTCCAGCATAGTATGTTCAAATAAATATTTTGCTAATGGAGTTTTCAGTGACCCAAACAAAGAAGAGAATAAAAGATGACCTAGGCAGCTAAGATACACCATATATTCTGATGGGAAAAAAACAATATAAAGAATTGGTTCTTAGGGTGCCAGGAAGTGAAACGTGATGCAGGATTCTGATTTTTCCCCCCTTTTCTTTTTTTGTGATCATCCAGCAGGCTTAATTAGTCATTTACATCTTCACAATTTAATAACATCAAGGACCCCTTTGAACCTCCATGTTAGAGGAGTTTTTCCTTTAAAAATGTAGAGTCTCTAGGCTTAGTCTGTAGGCTTTGGGGTTACTGACTTGGATCTGTAAACAGCCATTTTGCTCAACATGTGACATACAGGGGATAGCCAGATGTTAGACGATGGCAAAGTCAAGCTGAGCCATGTTTCCTCTACCTCATACCAACGGATCCAAGTGTTTTGCTAATGCACAGAGTATTCAAAGTAAAGACAACTATTAAATGGAGGAAGCATTTTGATACATATTTAATAACATCTATTATATGTAAGTAACCTATTTGAGTGTAATGACAATGCCATCAGTGCATGCCTTAAAGTAGAAACCAGCTACACATTCATGCTGGGGTGTCACAGGACAGTGAAAGAAAATAAACATTTACAGTATTCGTTTATTTTAAGAGGTTTATCCTACCATTTAGGATGGTAGCCATAGGATGACTCCCTAGATGGTGTCTGAGGGGCCACAAGATATTTTAGATTCCCAGATACAAGGTCAAAGTCAGCACTCCAACTTCAGACTTAGGAATCAGAGCTCTGACCTCTCTTACCAGCTGGTACAGAATGACTCATTCTGGCTTCTTTCCGAAGTCGGAAAGCAACTTTGGAGAAGGAGAGAAGCGGGTATTTCTATGGGTGGAGAGCAGGCTGGAGAGGCCAGGATGTGATGTCTCCCCAACCGCCTTGCTTCTCCATCTGTCTGTCCAACCAGCAACTAGTACTACTGCTAGTTGAACAAAAAGCCCATCTAGTGAAAATCCAGTGCAGGAGAATGGGGAGGTAGAGACCATCTTCCCCACTCTTCCAGCCCTGCACAGGATAACCATAAGCCTGAGTGTGGAAGTTTAGGATCATCACTACAAAAGTATCACACCCTTAGGGCCCAAACTCTTTCAAGCCAGCTCACAAGCAAAACACAGTGCAATAATAAACATAATCATTAATATACACAACACAACAAAAAACTTTCTATGAATAAACTAACGAAGTGCATGACTATGGCAGTTACTTACTGCCAGCCAGAACTCACCAACAGTGGTGGTATTAGAGAAGAGACGAAAGTTGACGATGTACTCCATGACCAACTAGAATTCACAAATCTAGACAAGCCAGTTCAGCATCAATTTTCAAGTGAAGTTGGAGGCATCAACACTGATCAAATAAACTTTGAGCAACTGATGTCACCTTGAGAGATTCGGTTTTCTCCAGAAGAAATCAACAAATGTTCAGGTCAAAACTTGAATAGCTCATCAACAACCACTAAACAATAAAGACAAATCCAAAATCAAGATGCAGCTTGACTTATTGCCTTCAAATCATCCAAAAGGGAAGGTGCCTTCCACCTATGCATACTCCAAGAAAACAGATCTAGAGGGCAGTAGGTACAAAGAGTATTGACCATGCTTTGGTATGTTTGTGGTGTAACTGTCTTCCAAGGAGCTGTCCTTCTAACAGAGTTTACGCAGCATGTGATCAAGCAACTTTGGGGCCTTAAAGCTAAATATCAGCACATAAGCATAAGTATCAAAAGCATTCATTTTATTTCACTTGTGCAAATTTCAATTTAAAACCTGAGCTGGATTTTAATCAGTACTGGTCCTTGTGAAGAGGTGATCAGAGATGGTGGCATTATTGTACCAAGATAATTAGAATAATACATTTGTTTATTCAACTGATAGTTTGTGATTCAGTGAATCTTGCTGGAACTGCAGTGGAACTCCACTGATGGTTCTCTGACCTGCCTTTGTCTGACTCCACTGAATGCATGTTTCACTGGACTGCATCTGCTGCGGTCTGTTTATTGGCCACCTTTTTCACCTTTCATTTTTGAAGGAAAGTAAAATTTGTTTGTCTTGTAGAACAACCCCCCATACTTTTGAAAAAGCATATGTATTCATATACTATTTATACATACTATTATAAACATATTAGTAATACTCTATGGGTTGCTAAAAAAACAGGCCCCAAACTTTGAACTGGGATTAATCACCATTAAGCCTTTAACAGTAATGTGAATCAGTTAATTAATCAATGGAGTGGCTACAAAGAAGACTGTTAATTGACTGAAAAATCTTTATGTGGGTGGTGAGCACTATTTAAAAAAAGAGGCAATCTCTTCTTTCCTTCTGTACTATTTAACATTTAGCAATAGGTGGACCTGACTGATTTTCTGCTGATTCCTTTCGTTCTTGCACATCCAAGTCAATTTCATGTGGAAGTATTTTCTTTTCTAGCAGAAAGACAACACTAAACGAAAGGAGAAACCAAACCAAAACCTTTGTACAGATTTTGGTGTATTTTTTTTTTAAATGCAGTTTTGTACTTTCAAATTGTAGGAATTTTTGGGATGCAACCAGTCACTGTGTAAAACATGCACACATTGTTCTTTGAATTATTCAAAGATGAAGAGTTTATCAGACTACTTTCCCTCTTCCATGGAATGCACTGCATATACCCAGATATAAAGAGAGAGATATAAAGAGAGAGGATACAAGTTGTATCCGGGTCCATGTCTGTTTCCAGGTGATGTAGACTGGAGTACTCCACAAAGCAAACACACTTCTGATGGTACAGATTTCTCACATTCCAAGATTATGGGACATTTGGTGCTACTTCTTTGAAGCTTTTCTCCAAGCAGAGGACTCAAAACACTCCACGTGCAAATCAAACCATTGTGCCAATCTGAATTTTAGCCCTCTTTTTGCACCAAAGTATAATGCATGGGCATCTATACTGCTGAAACTTATTCAGTTAGAAGCCTTTCATAACCAGACCACATCAATTTCAGAACAACTGCAATGCAAGATTAAAGATACTTCATCAAAATTCCCCTGGTGTTTCTTTACCCAATCAATGTTTTAGAAGTGTGTAAGCTAAACCAGCTCTTGATGATGTGTGCAATCCTATTTAAACAGAAAAAAGCCTATAACACCCAACATGGTTGCTGGGGCATGGTACAAGTTGTAGACCTTTTTTCTGCTGAAGTTTAAGATTGCACCTTTACAGTTTTAAACTACAAGGCAGAACAGGGATACTCCTTTAGATGTGGTGGAAGGATAAACTTGATACATCTCTGTACATCCAATGACACTTAAGATGGGCAAAGTAGACCCAATCCAAGTAAAATTCTAATGCATCCAAAATCTAGCCCTGGCTGATTTGCCCTCTGGTTGACTCATCCATCACTCCACGCCTCTGACAAAACTGGACAGCGACTTCCCAATTCCTAGACCAATTCGGAAAGGGGCAGTGGCTATTCCAAACAAGCTAATAGCAGGGTCCATCCAGGCAGCAAGGTCTGCATGCAGAACCGTAATATAACCCACTTCTGCCCAACATGGTAGCTCGAGGGCCTCTGCTCCCTGCCCATGCAGATTTAGCCCTCAGATACGTCCCCCATCGCCATTCCCAATCAAAGAGTTGATCAGACGAAGGCATTTGGTGAACTTTCTGGTATGGGGGGCAGGAGGCAGAGCCTCCGAAACCAGGAAGCTCCATCCCCCACCCTTTCTCTGCCCAAAGCCCCTCCCACTAAAACTTGGCCAGCCCACCTACCAAGCCCAGCATCCTTGAGTGCCCACTCCTTCCCCTCCCTCTTCCTACAAAAAAGCCCAGCATGCATCTGTGGCCACCAGATCCCCCCCCCCGCAAGGAAAGCCCCCCCCCCCTGGCTTGCATCCCTCCCCCGGGGCAAAACTGAGAAGCCCCGGGGGGGGGGGGGGGGGGGGGGGAGGAGCGCCGCCTTCTCGGGAAGGCTCGGCGCGCCCCTGGCTCGGGGGGGGCGGGTGCGGAGGGCAGGAGGCAGGCTGGACTTTACCTGGACTTTCTCCGCAGCAGGGGCGCGGGCCCCCCCCGGAGCCAGCACCTCTGCCCCCCTCGCCCTTCGCAGGCCTGCAGCGCTCAGCCCCCTCCCCGCGGGGGGGGGATGAAGAGCGCGAGCGGCGGAGGTGGGGAGGGCGGAGGAAACGCTCCATCCTCCCGCCAGCCCGAGCCGCGGCGGCAGCCCGAGCCCGCTCTCCTCGCCCCCCCCCCCAGCCCTCGCTTGCCATTTCCTCTCCAGGAACTCGGGCGAAAAGGAGCGGAGCGGCGCGGCGGCGGGGGGTGGCGGGGAGGCGGACGCCGCGGGGAAAAGGAGCCCCAGCCGAGCGAGGCGCCGCAGCCTTGGCCGGGCGTCCCTCGCCCCCTCCGCCCGCCCCTCCGGGAAAGCCCGGCCGAGCCCGGCGAGCGGCGGCGTTACCTCGTAAAGATCCCCCGAAGCCATGCCGGGCGGCGGGGCCGGGGCGTCGCGCTCGGGCGGCCGGGGGGCGCGCGTCCCGTGCTCCCGGGCTGGCGCGGCGCTGGGCGGGCGGGCGCGCTGCGCTGCGTGATCCTCCTTCGGCGCGCTCGGCTCGCCCGCGCTCCCTCCGCGAGCACAGTGTGCTGGGCAGGATGACAGCCTTCCTGGGCTTCCGGCGTGTGCGCAGAATCGCAGGCGAGGGGAGACGGCGGCCGGGCGTCACCGCGACGGGAGTGCCGTGCAGGCGCGAGCAGCGCTCTGGATCCGTGCAAGCGGGGGAGCCGGCGCTCGGTGCGCGCGCGCGCCTGCCCGCCCGCCCGCCTGCGCGCGTGCGACGGGGCGTGCGGGAACCTCCGCCCGCCCCGCCCGCCCTCCCGCCCCGCCAGCCAAGCGGGCACGGGCAGAAGCGGGGTTGCTGCCTCCGCCGCGCCCGCCGCGCCCGAGGACGCGGGCTCCGGCCCCGCTCGCCCCTGCCGCGCGAGCACGTCGGGGGAGGCCCGGCTGGCCCGAAGGAGCACCCGCTGCCCGGCCGCCTCTTTATTTCTTTATTTACTTAGCATGCCAGATCAGCTCTGGGGGATTGGGTCGTCTGTCGCCCTCCCCCCGGCGCCTGCCTGTCTGACACCATCCCATTCACCTGCTTGGATAGGGACGAGGAGAACCCGGGGATTCCTGGAATCTGGGAAGTGTTTCGGTGCAGACGCACAGGCTGCGACCCGAAGCGTGGCTGCAGCCTACGCCCCTTTCGGGGACCACCCAGGGCAGAAGCAAGCTCAGGATCATTCTTGTACTTGCCATGTGAACTCGAAATGCAAAACTGTAGGTGCACACCAAATCTTAAAAAAAAAAAAAAAGTTGAGAACAATTGTTCTTCTACCATAACAGGAACTTATAGGCAATTCTAAAGCATGTGATAAGCATGTGTGTCTGTGGTGGTGGGGGAGAAATTTTAGCAGTAAGCTTCACAAGTGAAATAATATACATGGCCACCCAAAGACCTCCCCAGCACCATCTCCCATTAAGTCCCAGGGCTACCACCACTTAGCAGCAGTGCTGAGCAAACAGGTGTCTTCACACCTTCTAGATTCACCAGCCCTTTGTCTGTCTGTCTGTCTGTCTGTCTGTCTATCTAATGTCTCCTGGGTTTTCATCTCAAGGAAGGGTAGGCATCTATGGGAACCTCCAAATACCCCAACCATGTCACTTTGTTTCTTCCTGACACACATCACTAAATTATTCAGAGGCATTTAACTTCATCTGCAAAGAGGCCACTGAGTCTGGAATCCGGTGGAAGAGCATCTTTGGAATTCCAGATCCAGGAATGTGGGCAGTTGCCTTACAGTAAATCAAACCATACTGGTCTGGCTTTGTAGCATCCATACTGGCCCTCATCAGGTATCCAGATTTTAAAGCAGGAGTCTTTCCTAATCCTATAATAATTATCATCTTAGATGGAGATGCCACATATAACTCCTATAACTCTGCATCACTGGGCTATCGACCTTCCCCAATCTGTAACAGAACATAGTCCTTTAACTCACCCGCTCCCTTTATTTGTTTATTTAAAACTTTCGTATGCTGTCCCTTATGCATGGCATCTTGGGACAGCTGACGGGAAAATTTGGGTAAATCCTGTCTGAAAAGCATTACTCCTGTGTGCCTTTGCATTGTGGGATCAAATCCTGTCTTCCTTCTCAAAACCAAGCTGTCACTGTTTAAAATGGCCTTCCTCCCCCACTCCTTTCTCTCACCTTTAGCTGTAGGCTATAGTAGGCCATTTTAGCCCAAATATACATTATAAATAGTCATTGTTGGAATTCATTTTACAATAATCTTTTGATAGCCCAGAGGACTTCATGTGCCCTGATCATGCAGAATGTTTAGAGTCATAAGGGTCTGAGCTTATCATGAATAGTTTCTAGTAGCTTGAATTTGCATGTCTGAGCAGACCTGGAGATGGGTTCAAGTTACTCAACTAAAGTGTCAATACAGACAATTAGAAATATTGTAATCTGATTGTTACAGTGTGATTGACTGACATTTCTTTATCTGTTCTGTATGTGGTGACCTCAGAATCTTATTGTAATCTCTACATTCTGTCATCGATTGCCCTGTACCTGTGTACCTATAAATGCCCTGCAATGGTATTGAAGCTTTGCAGCGGAGTTCAGCTGTGCCTGCCCAGAAATGCAGCCTGCATTATCGTGAGTGTACTGCGGGAACCTTGGGGTAAAATAATAAAGCCTCAGATGGTCTGGACACTTGGTCTTTCCCACAAACCCGAGTTTTATTCCCTCTTCTCAAATTGAGATTCCGGGATTCTGACACGGCTCACAATCATTAAAACAACCAGAATAGAACAGCAATAAATAATAATTAACCAAAAATACAAATTAAATAAGTTAAATAAAAGTGACTGTTAAACATTAAAATTTAAATTAGTTTTTTAAAATAACAGTTAAATAAAAAGGTTGTAACCTGGCACTGAAAAGAATATAAACTCGGTGCTAGGCACACCTCTCCGGGGAGTGCATTCCATAATCTGGGTGCCACCACAGAGAAGGCCCTCCTTCGAGTAGATGTCCTTTTTACCCCCTTCAGGGAGGGTTCTCGGAGCAGGGCCCCTCCCGCAGAATTTAAGGGGCGTGAGGGCATATCAGGAAGGAGAACTCTCGATCTCAATCATCATCAAAACAATGCATGATGCATAAAATGCATTGGATTTTCATGATGACTTGCTTTTAAAGCATAACAATCCAATCAGTTCATGACGTGTTTAAATCAGATCTTCAGGTGTTTTATACCAACAACTCCAAGCATTCCTGGACTTTTGGGCATTCTGGCAGAGGTTTCTGGGAGTTGAAGTCCAAAGCATCTGGGAATCTTCCTTCTGGCACTAAATAACCAAAATGAAAAGTACATTGTCTTTTATACCTGGTCAGTTTTGGGTTGGACCCAGATTTATGCTGGGTCAAAATATGCTGAAGGAAGTGGACTTTCCTGCCTCCTTGTCTCCACAGTAGCCTTTTCAGCCCCCTGAAAATACTACAGAGAAACAAGAGACCTTTCTGAATGGGCTGAGCTGACACAAGATCTTTGAAAGTGCAGACAGAGTGCTGGAAGTTCACCTCTTCCTGTGAAATGTCAAAATTGGGTTCAACCCTTGCCCATAAATCCAAGCACAATACCACTCAAAATGTTGGGGAAAGAGTGTCTTTAACCAATCACATTCAAGCTGCAGGCAAATAGAATTATTTTGTTAATTTATCTAATTTATTAAATTTCTATATTGTCCAATAGTTGAAGCAATGTCTAGTTGAACAGATCAAAACGTGGAAATCCTTGAAGAGTCATGGCTGTCCTACCACACACCCAATCCATACACATTTCACCATTAAAAAAGACCTCTTCTACTTGGATTGCATTAAAAAATTCTGAAATCCTTATTCCTGATTGCTAAGGCAAGTAATTAGAAAACATACACTCAGGTCCATGCCGCCTGAAGAGAGAGAATCTAATTCTAGAATTAAGAATAAGATTTTCTTTTACTTGTTCTACTTCCCAAATGCCTTCATTTCATCTGGGATCTTGTTTGTTTACTATTAAAAAAACCCACTTTCCTCTTCAGGGCTGATATACAAGTTGATTTGATCATAAACTTAATTTAGGCTTAGATGGTTCACTACGCTCAAGTGTAACAAAGTAAATGCATCTTCTTTGTCTAATGCATAGGGATTAGATTTGGGAACCTGCAGCGTATTTGGCAAGAGAGGGAGAGGGTAAATGTGACACTTTTGCCTTTCCAGGTGAGGTGTGAGGAGAGAAGGGACAGGAAAGTCACAGCTCAAACAGAAAGGCCGGTCTCGTTTCTTCTGAGGCATGGAGCCTTTCCCTCCCTCTGGTTAGTGGACCAAACTATGCCATGTGAGTTTGTCTGGCAATTGGACATTCCTTCTTTCTTTTCCTCTGGTCTCTTCATTGTGTTAAATGCTAGAATGCAAACTCCTTGGGGATGTTTTAGCTTTACAAATTGTAATGCACAATCACTTCCATTCTTACTTAGTTATCACTTGCTTATGTATAGTAAACAGGCTGGTTTAGAAGGAATAAAATTAGAACCATATTCAAATAATTGACGAATGTGTTGTTTCTAAAATACAAAGCAGCAATAAAACAGTAAAAACTATTTAAACAGAAAGCAACAATCTTTCATTTCCACTGTTTGGACGATGAGTGCGGTTGCTGTTGTAAGGAAAATGGCATTACTCACACTCAAGGTAGTGCACCATAGTTTTGGAGAACCCTGAGGCCTCTGGAAGTATCCCCCCCCCCCAAAAAAAAGGACCGGGGGAAAATGCAGGCTGACCATACTCAGTGGGCATATTGATTGTTCAGGGGTGGGGAATGTAAACTGGAGAAGGGGAAGGAAATGAAGTGGCTGGAATGTTTCACATGTCAACAGAGCAAGTCTTGCTACAGATTCTGCATTGGGTGGAGGTCTGGACTCTGATTAGGCTGTTCTGGGACGTTCAGATTCTTGTTTTGAAAGCCCTCCAGGGCTACCCCGGCTGAGCTTGGGCTCACTGCCCTGGCTGGAAGGTGAACCTCTGTCCATCCCAGGCCTCTTGCAGAACTGCCCTATATCTGGCTGCATCCATCTTGACCCATTTTCCCAGTCCTTGCTGAGGAAAAGCATCACCACAATATGATGTCATCTCCTCCACCCTTCGGTGCAATCCCAGTGCAAGAGGGGCAAGCAAGGGGATAGCATGCAAGAAGGGAAAGGAAAGCTGGAAACTGCATTTATCAGAAAAATATAGGGAAGGCACAAGCTTGTAACCTGATGTTGTCTAGGCAAGAGTTACTCCTGTTGCATCCCAGTCTGACTCTGTATTTTTAAAGAGATAAAGAACCTCCTGCTTAGCTCCTCTCCTTGTTAATGGACAAAGCGCAGGATGCTCATTTTGGGATAGGTGCTTGATGGCTATTCAGGACCTTCTCTTCTGCTTTCTGTGCTAGGTGCCCATGGCATGACTATTTTCTGTGCTAGCTGCTCTTGAGGGGGTAATTTCCCGATGTCTCCAGACAATGACCTGCAGGGTCGTTTTGCCTAAACTCTTTAAGGGGAAAACCTCACCTTTTCTCCACAAGAATTCAAGCATTCAATCTATTTATTTATAGCATTTTTATGCCGCCCCCATTGCAGAAAGTCTCGG